TTAAGCGAAAATGATGATCGGAGAAAATAGCCGGCCACATCCGACGATCCATATTCCGCCGTTGGATTCAATCAACGATCCGTCTTCACCCTTCTCTTCCGTTAACGACAATCCACACTCTCCTTCATCCTTCGCTCCTCTTTACCGTTACCTCCCATCGAACGATTCAGACTCGGACGAGTCACTCCTTGACTCGTTTCGCATGTACGAGTTTAAGGTTCGGCGATGTGCGCGTGGGCGATCTCACGAATGGACCGAGTGTCCGTTTGCGCATCCGGGAGAGAAAGCACGAAGACGCGATCCGAGGAAGTATCATTACTCAGGTACGTCTTGTCCAGAGTTTCGTAAAGGGAATTGTAGAAAAGGTGATTCGTGTGAGTTCGCTCATGGTGTATTCGAGTGTTGGCTCCATCCTGATCGTTATCGAACTCAGCCGTGTAAAGATGGGACGAGTTGCAGGAGAAGAATCTGTTTCTTCGCTCATACTCCTGAGCAGTTACGTGTTGTGCCTGGTTCAGGAGAGGCGGATCTTGGAGGAATCTCTTCTTTTCGAAACCGATTTGAGTCGAAATTAGGAATAGCCACTTCTCCTACATCGATCCTTGTCTCTCCTCCGTTTTCACCACCGTCGGAATCGCCTCCGAGTACCGGTGAACTCATTGCTTCCATGCGGAAAATGGAACTGAGTGGAGGATCTTGGAGCTCACCTATGAGATCCGGGCTCGGGATAGGGTTACCTTTTTCGTCAAGGTCGACTATGACTGAGAGGCGGACATGGCCGGGACTAAGAGAGTTCCATCTCTGGGAAAGTGAAGGCGAAGAGATTCCGGCGATGGAAGTGGTTGAATCTGGGAAAGAGCTGAGAGCGAGAATGTACGCTAGACTCAGCAGGGAGAACTCACTTGGTTGAGTCGATTCGGTTATATCATTAAAACGATCCGATTTGTTTTTGTGAATATGGTGGAGATTTTATTTTATCAGTGTGTAGATGCAAATGACGACGCTACAAGGGATGATGATGATGAAGAAAAATAAGAACAAGTTTGTAAAAAGCTAAGGATCGGATGATGTGTGAGAGCTTCTTCTTCTTCTGGATTCTGCAATTTTTGTTGTTAACATCTGTTGGTG